TATATATCTTATAGCTAGACAATACTCGTTCTAACCATCTACAACAATTGACGCATGTGGATAGCACTAAATGTAATGATTCTGTAAATTGTCTGAAAGATGAGTCTTCAGGGAGTGTTAGGCAGAATAAAATAGCAAATCGCTTACGTCATAGACGTCGGAGTGTTCACATCTCCGGGTTGGGGGGGGGTTAAGGTGTGGACGTTATAGAAATCCAAGTCTAAACGTTTACATCGTAAGTTATCGATGGTTGGGGAAGTTGCTGGTACCGAACGGGGAATGGAGTATAAGTAACGCCATTGATGTCCGAATGTTCAAATATCAGGGGAGTAATGGGGGAGGGGAATGGATTCATAATAATAATTTGGGGTAAGGGGTAAGGGAAGTTGATGGTAACGGATGGAGAATGAGAGAATGAAGAGAAAGGGACGTCATAGATGTCTGAATGTTCACATCTCTGCGGAATGGGAGTTTATGAACGTCCTGGGGGCTGGGGGTAGGGAGGGATATGTGTTCGAGTCTATAATTACAAGGGTCAAGGTTGGATATATGTAACATTACCTGTGTCTGGTGCTATACGTACACATTAATCCCGAGTGTGGGGTTGGTGATGGGAGGCCATACATAACTGTAGGTAGTGGACGATAACAAATGTCTTCATAAAGCTCGGAGAAATGGAAAATATAAAGTGACGAACGTTCTCTACCCAGCTCGGGGGAGGGGAAGTGGACATGTAAAATATCTATAGATAGCTGGACGGAGGAAGGGGAGGGGTTAATGGATGTTTTTCGTGGCTGAGTTTGAGATATTGGTGACGGACATTTTATATTGTTATTACTGTGACGTTGTAATTCATTGGCTTTGTTGGTGCCAATGTTCGATCCAGGTTCGGGATAAATGGTCAGATATTAATGTGTCTGGGTGTTTGTATTCGATATATCACGTACAATAACCGTTCATCTTTGTTATACATGTCTATGTTTCTAGACTTTGTTGAGAAAAGGGTTCGAGTAAGTGCTTGAGGATGAGATCGGAGCACGATGACATAACTTTGCTTTAGAAATAACATTCATATTTTGACATAACCGTTGACATTTGTAGGTTAATTCTAATTTTACGATACGCTATGAGCATAGATGCAAAGAATATCCCCCCGAAAAGAAATAGTTCTTATTTATTTCTAACTATACTCTCATCAAACGGAAGGAAATGAAAGCAAATTAAATAGCATGTGTGCTAGAGCCAATCAAAGGGAGCTGTTTATGTTAATAGTACTTTATTGATTCTTATGCTTATCACTATTTTCTGTGTGACCCCCTTCGACATTGACTTATTGAAATTAAAAGGGATTTGGCCACGATTATTTGATGCAATAATACGTGTAGTGACCGATACCCCGTCTATCTCAGTACTCCGGTGATGGACAGGCCAGGTATCACAGATAACTCGTCGTCAGGGGAGGTAAGCGGATACAAAATAACGAATATCTAGTTAAACAGATTTAAAGACCTATTATTACCTTTAAAAGTACTATTGGAACTTTACCAATCTAAGCTGAGTGTGATTTTAAGATACGTTTTTTTGTACTTATCAATTCCCTCTTCACTTTGGAGGCTCAGCAATCCTATATCTCTATAGTATATCAGAGATCGCGTGGAATGAACAAAAGTTTACAGTTTTGTATTTCAATGCATATATTTTCCAAATTATGTCATGTTGATGTCGATTGTTGTTTATAATGTTTGGGTTAATCGTCATATCCTTTTGGCAATTGATTTAATGTCCTTTCGACAACTTTTATGCACATTTTTCAATGTCATTTTGACAATACTAATGTAAATTTGTTTCTCCTTTCGACAAAGCTTATGTCGATTTCCATGTCATTTTGACAATGCTTATGTCAATCATTGCGTCTTGTTGACAAGGCTTACATCGGCTGTTGATTTCTACCTGTACTTAACGTCAATATGACATCATGCCGTTTGCGATACATTATGAAAGTCAGTCATGATCATGAAGCCAGCCTCTCGCTTATCTTTGACTCTGTACACTGTCCATCAATGTAAGGATTACGTCTTTTCAACAGCATAGGTCTTTAAAAAACTATTGTGAAGGTGGGGCGATGTTTGGATGATGATGATGTTGACATGTAATTTTGAAGGTTGATTTTTAAATTTCAAGTATTACAACAAGTAGGAAGAAAGGGCATGGGATAATCGGTTGTTTGTGCCCTTCTGGACTTTTCGCTTCGGGTGACAGTGGTATTCTTGGGGTGATCCTAAAACAAACCGTACGCGCATCTTCTTTTGTGCGCGGTCACTATTTTGCACGGTCATAAACATTGTCATTCGTTGCTAGGGCAATGAGAAGCAGCCTTCCATTGACTCACTGTAACCGCGTGAAATGAACAACCTGGCTTGACCAATCAGAAATTAACTACGGCATTGTCCAATATAGAAAGTGAATTAAATATAGAAGAACAAGACAACAGCTTGGTGTGTTTAACCTTGTAACAAAGACACAAGATGTCTGCCTGGTTGTCTACCCTACCTGTCAACCAGCTTTACACATTCTCTTGTAGTAATTAGACCACGTACAAAATGTACGCCCTATTGTCGCGAGCGTGTGAGAGGCTATTGACTGACTGGTTCAGTGGCGGACATATTGACACTGCCGGATGTTAGGAATGCCAACTGACCAGTCTCGCGAGACCAAAGCTGGTACGTTACCAGCTGCGGTCGTCTGACATATGATCGCGATTGACCACAAGCTGTTTTAGACACTGACCACCCGCGCTGCACACAATCAAATTGTTTATAGGTGTATATATGTGTTTAAGCGGGGACAGTATATCCATTATACGTCTCTGGTTTAAGCTGTTGGCGATCAAACATGTTTACACTAGCTAATGATCATTTTGTCAGGTTCCTCTGTGATATTATAGTATAGATCTCTGTTATTAGCTTCAAGTATACTATGTTACAATAAAATAGTTCATGCATTCACACATCGGTGACAGAGATAGAAAAACAAATATGTTTCAATATTATTATTTTACATCTATGATATCTATAAACATTATTTTCTTTACAATAATCATAAAACAAGTAATTGAAACTATTATTAACCACTCTTGTTGCCCCGAATGTTAGCGCGTAAGGGGTCTTAATGTGGGAGGAAACCGGAGTACCCGGATAAAACCCACGTATACGGGCAGGTGACCCAATACTCGTCACGTCTGTGGGAATCGAACCTAGGACGCCTTGGTGGAAGGCAAGTGCGTTACCCTGTGCGCCAATCGATCAGCCTCACATACGGATGTCTCATATATATATCCTCATTAAAACAGTCCAGAGAATTTCTGAAAATTTCCGTCGTGTAATGTCATATTAAGATCAGTTATTTATACCCTTTTCGATACTTTCCTATAAAATATAATCCTATTCTTATCAAAGATCGCCACAAATAAGGAATGCTTAAATAATGATACCATTTTAAATGTGAGATAGCATTCTCACGCCGGGAGTCGAACCCAACACACCGACCATACACTCTAATTGACAGGGCGGTATACTCTGTGCGATCTCAATTAACTTTCACGATTTACGTGTTCTGTAAAAAAAATCCACAGAAAAGAAAACAATAGATAACCCACATAATATGAAAACAAATATATCCTTAATTTCATCAAATAAATAACGGTAGTAGGGAACGACCGTCCAGGGAAATATTGTGAAACAAAAGGTGATAAATTTCAGTCCATATTGCTAGAAAATCAATAGCATCGTCTGGCGTCAGGTGTGTTTTTCTAAAAAAAAACACGAAAGGTTTGTTGGTCGGAAATTGTTTCTCGCGGATAAAACTTATGATGACAATAGACTCGAGCACACGCATGGTTTTGACAGGAAATTTAACATTCTTGTGACAATTCAGCGGAAAAGCTTAAACATATGCATGAGTTCCCAGAATATATGCATACGGAAGTAGGTCGGGTTGTTAATATGCCTTTGTACTTGGTAATCTGAGATTGTAATCACAATTTCCAAACCATTTTCTTAATGACCGAAATATTCTGCATCGTCAGCAAATTTGTAAAAAGTGTAATTGTATGTCCGCGATGCTCTCAGCTTAATTGCTGCCTTCGGCTGTCTTTATCCGATCGAGGGGACTATTGGTTTTATATAATAGCTAGAATTTCAATTATAGTATATCAGTTCTATCTTCTTGTATATGTACATGTAACTGTTCTGTTTCACTGTGTCTTGAAAAAGGAGCGGATCGCTCCGAAAATTTCACAACTTAAACTTGTCCACACTGTTGGAGTTACTTCTTTGCCCCATATATATACACACCTATGTATTCACTAATCTTATCAATCTAGTAACAGTTCTGCCAACTTAAGCAAATTTGAACATTATCACTTCGCACGGAGAAAATAAATATATATATAAACACGTCTCTGTTTCGCATTATTGCAAAATCGTTTTTCTCTTTGTAATTATCAATAACTATATCATATCCCCATCGAAACGACTGTATGAAATATCTATGTATTTCGATGCTTTAAACGAAATGAAAAATGACATATATATATTTGCCTGTCGTCAAATTAAATATCTTTGTTTTTAAAACAACAAAGTATTTTGAATAAAAATTCACATTCGGTACACTCCTTGTTACAATAACACATGTAGGTTAAGTAAATTGTTTAATAGTATCTCCCTTTTTTATTGTTAAAAGAAATCACTTTTACAAGTGATGTAAAAACAACAGGTAGCTATATATAGTGTGTACACACTTATATATATATAAACAAACACGTTAGCGAACAGATGTACATTCTGTATAGGTGTACAAATCCAGCGTTATCATATCTTTTTGTGTGAAAAACTAGCATTTGTTCCACACATGCTATCAATGCTGACAAAGGGGGCCGAAAGGTGATATACTCTTCCTTTGTTTCTGTCCCTATCTCATGCATATATCTTTTCCCCCAATTGTATACACAGTATACCGTTAGTATCCCAGAATGTTGTTGTACACACATCCCTAGCGGAGCTGTGATAAGAAAACCGGGGAACAATACTTAATTAACGCTTCAAACGAGCCGACAGTTAAAGACTACAATTCACTCGCAAAAGTGCTAACGGAATTTCGACAACATGGCAGAAAGTGCACCTGGCTCATGTGTGTTTTCTTAAGACAGAAAGAACACATGAGAGAAAGTGAAAACAATCACCATGTTGTAAGTGTTCAAGCAAACTGTGAAAACACAACCCCCGATAGTTAAAACAACAACCTACCCGTATAAACCACTTGAGTTGTTTATAAAAATATGCCAGAACTTACCTGGTGTCATATACGAACGGACAGGAGTAAGGAATTGACATTGGACGTCACTAGTGAGATTTAAAAAAATATTATTGAGTAACTCATGTACCTAACCAGACAGAAAATGGAACTTTCAGCCGTAGTGTCGGAATTTACTCGTCAGAATGACAGGTAAGTTTCTCATCTCTATATAAATTTCATTAGAGTTTTTAATGTTTACGGATTAAAACCTTTGTAGTATTGGGGTGGGATTCGTTCTGAGCTCCACGTAAAGATAAACAACATGACCGCTACACTTGTATTTGAGCTAGATATCCTTCGTCGTCAACACCTGGAAAATATTAGTTGGGGAAAAATTGTTGATATCCTAGTAAGGTAGGTGACATATGGTATATATGATGTATGTATGTTTATGTATATACAAACGGACACTTCTCCTGTATGCCTATCCTGTAGCGTTAATTGCTTAACTCCTTACTATTTATTTTCATTTTTTTTATATATAATTCGTACTCGTTACATGTATAACATTACCAGTTCCGGTCATGAAGATTGCTTTTATTGCTTTACAACTTACTTATTGCAAATATGATCAATTTCGTTGACCATTAGTCGTAAAAATAGACATATTACTATGCGTAATTGAAATCAAATCGCATCATTTTTTCCTACCTTAATATGCAAAAAAACAAATAGGTATATATATGACAGATACAGATATGTAGCTTTGAACGGATGGGAGAAGGACGGGATAAAACTACATGCAGATCTATGAAAAATTGTGATCAAACTTGAAGTTCAAGTATGGTAGCTATCCGTATTTATTAGGAATTGTAATGGGCGCAGGAATTAAGCCTCTATTTACATATCAATAAAATGCAATTTTACAGTATTTAATATTACATATTCTTCTTCAGGTAAAATACATTCAGGTGAAGTTAATGTTCATAAATATTATAATTACAATTTTTCTTTTTATATTGTAAGTAGAATTAATGTAACGAAATCTCATGTATACTATTTTCGTACGTCAAAGTGGAAACTGGACTTCTAAGAGACCGGTGATATATGTATGTGTAGTATATACGTCTCTGTGTGTGATGGTTAGTTCCCAAAGCCTATAGCTACCAGTAAACCAATTGTTGATAAGAGAGTTCGGCGAACGTGTTCTAGTCGTGGGCCGGAAGACGCTATCACTAACAGGTTCGTAACTGGTTAGCCATTTGTTACCGTACAAAATAAATGGGCTAGAAGCGATTCGCCAGCTTCATATTGTTTTCGTGCGATAACTTGCACAACTGATATAATTAAAGGTATTCATTTTGTTCGATACATTATTACCTTTTATGTATATTAAAATAACACTTATCTAGTAGGTAAAAATAAGGGTGAATGCGTATATTTCTGACTTAAGAAAATGCAAACAAATTACATTGCAATGAAGTACTGTAGTTATGCATGTGGTTGGAGATTATATCATGTACAAAGTACGTATACCCACACACCAAAATTTGGAATCGCTAAAATGTACGACTTTTTCACCCGAAGAAAACAAATATATCACACCATATGTATCCTTCAATTTTTTTTTAATACTGGAACGTTATACCGCGAACGTAGATATAGTTAAGAGGTCTGACTAAACAGAATTGATGTCTCGAGTTTATATCTTAATGGAAACTACACACGCGAGCATTATAACGCATTCTCATACGAGAGACTGATATTTCAAAATATATTACCCTTACTGCAATATATACGAAATGGTGATAAATAGTTATTTAAGTATTGTATATGGATCTTTAGTCAGGATAAATCGTTAACTTTTAGTTTTTTTCTCCTCAAGTTATTTCCCCAGTCAGGTTAGAAATGTTTCAGATGCTAACAAGCACGTTTCGGTCGTTCACTGATATAGGTAGTATTTCTTATACGTTGTAACAGAGACGTATATATTACATAATATACGTCTCTGGTTGTAAGTACTTGCCGGCAAACATCTTTGATATGTTCCGAAATTTTTGTGACATCCCCGGTTTAGAGTGTCAAATCTTATTCCATTGTTAAACTACCAATGTCTCGAAATTGATTACATAAAGCTGTATTGGACGAGGAATTTAATTTGCCTTGCGTATTCTAAAATTACAAAGACCTTATGTCGTCCATATCTAAATGAATTTTATACACACGCGAGAACCTTCGAGGATTGATAAGTAATTGTTGTCAAAGTCAATGTTTCCTAAGTTATACAAAATCAATGTAAACAACTAAACACGACCTTGACATTAGGCTTTCTTATCAAATAATATCGATTTCCTATATAGACACCTGATGAACAAACAAATGGAATCCGAATGAATTGATTTCATTAGAAAAATGAAGAGGTGTATCGAAGAGATTGTTGTGATTCGCTATACAACCAATCAGAATCCCCCGGTAACTCTATAGTAGTCATCGATCACCCGTCAAGTGGAAGGAGGCTCCGTAAGGGGATCAGTCTGAAATTAATTATAAAAAGGTGGAAATATCTTTACAAAAAGAGTCGTTAGAGTTCGCCTATGTCACTTTTACTGTAATTTCTTAAATTACAATGCAATTTCACAATCATGTATCAGTTTACATGAATGTTATTCTTCTTCCTGCCATTTGAAAACGATTTTAAGAAAATATCGTAGAAGACAAAGTACGTATAATATAATCAAATACCATTCCCGATTCCCTCTGTGAAATTGAAGTACACGTGATTTTATAGCTAAACAAATTACTTCCCTCTTGAACATATGTCGTATACTAGTGATTTAAGGAATATAAGGGAATCCAAGTTAATCAATATGAATATGAATGTATTATATAGATAAGTTAAAAAGAATCAAGTGTGCTATTTTTTTTTCAAATTCGTCTTTAAAAAATATTGTAGATTTATTTGAACTAAGATACAGCGTGGTACAAAATACGGTTTTACCAACAGAAATCAATCAGTATACATTCATAAAATCAAATTCAATTGTAGTAAAGAATAGTTTTTAAAATAAATAGAAAATAATGACAGGAACGTTACTGCCTGCATCACGTAACAAAACAATCTTTACAAAGGGATCGAAACAGCATTTCCCCAACATTTATGAAACTATGAACAGATTGAAATACGTAGTCTCTGTCAACCAGACGCTTTATCACTGCGTAATAATACAAAGAGTCCGGTTGAACGAGACTAACCCCCTTGCCGAGCCCCCTACTTCTAATCACAAGCATGTATGGCTTGTTTATAGCGTACAGATTTCCCGTGACAGTAAGAAATCTCATATTGTATTATATGGGTCAGCGATTGAAACCCTTACCAGTATTGTGGAGGAATTTGGTGACATTGCAATCGCTGAAAGATCTGTGTTTTAATCTCCTTTATGCTCATAAAGCAAAACCATATAGCATGGTTCAATATTTTAGAAGACGTTCTGTCTCCAGAAAGCGAAAAGCACTCGACTGAAATGTGATTATTGCGACATCAGATGGAATGATACACGCAGGCAATGTTTCCAGTGGGAAATTTGACCCCGACCACTTAGAAAAATGATAGGACGGAACGCATGTATCACCGAGTTAAAGAAATTACGGTAAAATGATTCTGAGGACAAATTTTTGGCAGCCACTGTCGATATATATACATATATTGATTAAGTTGTCTGACAGTTTGCAGAATAAAAACTCTCCAAGTATATGAAATACGTCTGATTTTCCGAAACTGAGAGTTAATATTCTAAAATATTGAAAGCATTTCCGTTTAAGGCGTCTTCCTGTCGATCACGCAATACGTTGACCATGGCCACGACGTTGCAGAAAATCTCACAGATAATCTGTGTTTTATTCTGTTTTAGTTTATTGCTATTTCATCTTGTCTTTTGTTGACATATCTGCTCATAAAAAGAACGCCAAAGTGATTTAGCATTTTTTTCTGTATTCTTTTCCAATAATGAAAAAAACAACCCATGTCAGTGACTGCTAGTTCTCAAAGCAACACTCGCCCACGTGTAACAGGTTTCCCCGGCTTTGTTCAGGAAACAATAAAATATTGACCACTAATAAACCTTTTCCACTTCCTGCATTAATAGCACATGGATCCTTAACAGGTGCTATTTTATACCAATATAATTGGCGAAACGAGACCAGACCCCACGAGTTTAACACTGACGTCACTTCCGGTGTCTGGGGTTTCAGGGGTTTGAGCTATACAATAAAATGATATGAAACCAAGCCTTAAGGTATAATGGTGATTGATTATATTTTTTTATCGATTTCGCAGATTGTTTATAACTTTTAAATGCTATACTGCTCATATTATGTTTAAATTGACACATAGTCAATTAGAAAAAAGAATCATAAAAGTAAATTCAAAGTTTTTTTTTAAATTTATGATATTTTGTCCGTTAAATTGTTGTGTTAGTGCTGTTTCATTTATTGTCATGCATTTGCAGCAAACTACAAAGACAAAAAGAGAAAAAACAGTCAATTAACAGCTGAATGTGAGCTATAAACGTTGATCATTTATATAACGAAACAAATATGCTACACAACAATTATACACAAAAATACTACTAGGTTGGTTAAAGAAAACGGTAAGAATTCAAAAAAATACTATGCAAAGATTATTCAATCTGCTTTGTCAATGTGTATGCTAACTAGGCGTTATCCTCTGACGGTCAACATGTTTTACCGAAAACAGGCGCGTTCTGTTTGGTGAGGAGAGGGGGAGTTGGGTGAAGGGGGGATTTTTCAAAGATTATAGATGAAAATAATATTCCTCCCCCTATCCCCTGTCTTAAATCTACCCCCTCCACAGGTCCTTTGATCTTTGATTTTTTCGTTTTTATTTTCGTGTAAGTCTGGCGAAGTTAGATCTCAATGATAAGTTTGGTGGTTGGAGCAGTAATTGCGGAACCACAAACGATGTCAGCCAGTCTTGTGTGTGGTGTTATACATCTTAACTGAACATTAACCTGACCTCTGATCAGATAAGGGGTTGAAACCTTCATTTTCTTCACAACTTCATGTCTGGTTAGTAAATCAATTAAGGGGATCAGAAAGGAACGAGTAATTGTTTTGAGTCAGTTTTTCTAAAAGTATTGTTTTTAATTTTGCACAAAAAGTGATAAAGTATAATATTGCGTTTTATTTTTCGACCATTCACATTATTTATGATATAGATGTGTCAAAAATCAAAACACCCTTTGTGGTTTTCTATATTTAGTTTATAATCTACTCTGCGCCTGCGCTATTCTAACAGGTGCAACTCGGGGATACAAATATTGTTGTTTTTGCTTTTGCCAAAGTTAAATAATAGTGAAGCGAACGCCGAGGTCGTATTTACTTGTCTTGGTTCTGATGTGGAGATTTATTTATGAATTATTTGAATTTTCGTTCGTTGCGATGTCTACATTTGATCCAATGTCAAAACACTTGAAAATATCTACAAGCAAACATGTTTCAAAAGGATTTATATTGGATCATAGAGACTGTGAAATATTGGTAAGTTCATTTTAAAAGTATATACTCCATTTAATTTATCAGGTGGAAATTGGAACTCATTGTAACAGATACTATGATATTTTAAGTAATATTTCAAAGTACGCCTCAGTTTCGTAAAAAAACCAGCTCTGGTGCGTACGTTTGATCTTACTTGTCCGCTCGTCTGCTTCAACTCATCTGCGCAGTATATAATTAAAAGATGAGGGACTAAGGATGCGTCCGCGCGTCTGTCTTACTACCCAAAATCATATTGCAAGTAAAGTGATACAATGCAGCCTGCTTATATTTTCTGTACTGTATCTACATTTGTACACGTATAAACGTCGATGGACCATGCATCCTGTTGCCGCTTATTTTACAAATTTTATATAATTTCCCTAACTAACTCAACTTTCACCCTAAAAAGAGAACACTTTATTACCCCGCGAAACACCTTCAGTTTATTGTCTGGATCAACATTTGGGTGTCGGTTGGATTAAAAACACAGTGTATCATTGACGGTATTATTTCTGTAATCATTCAGGGATTCATTGTCCTGTAGTGGAAGATTAATTCGTAGAAAAGCTTGCCTTCGGTAATAATCATCGTGATTGCATTTCTGAACAGAACATGTAGATTTTATGAACATGCACTGTAATGTATGCGCTGATTGTATTTCTACAAAGAAATGGGTTGCTGACCCAACTTCTGTGTTGTATTAAGGGTGTGTAGTCAAGGTTACCGGGGACAGGATTGTATTCTTGTTCGTCTGCCAAACTTTAATGCAATCTGTGTTTTATTGTTCTGACATCATCGGCCTGTAATATTGTTTCGGACGACCGTATGCACGATTCTGTTTTCCCTTGACAAATCTATATACTCGTAAGGCACGTCAGATAAAAATATCATTAGTTTTTATTATTCCTCTCTGCTTGAAGTTTAATTTGGTTTGTTGCTCCTGGGTCAGAGAGATACCGGGTTATCTGTAATATTGTGCAGTACGTCACGTATATACGAGTACTTTGAATTGATGACGTAAGGGCATAGAGCATTATGGTGACAAATATTCGTTCCACTTCGAAAGGTTTCAAATATACACAAATGATTTACCCTGTGTTCGTAGTACATGTATTATAAATGAAATGATATATATGATTGAAATGTAATTTTGATTCTAAAATTTTACGTCGAATATATCTTGGTGTATGTCAGAGATTGCACAATAAAAACATGACGAACGATTCTTGCCCCTCTCTCAAAATTCTAAAAGCGTAAATATTAGTTATTAAGGTTTTAAAAACTGTAATTATATAGTATGAAAGGTTTATTCAGTATCGCATAAAGTGGAAGTGCTACGTATGTATGGCTTACATATCGTATTGAAATTGTATCGAATACCGACACGTCAATGGGAAGAAGTATCCATACTTCTCACAATGTTATATATACACAGACTCAAGATACGTACTACATGACCAGCAGGCCGTCTTTTATGGAGGTTTTTAAAAATACCGTTAATAGCAACTTGTTTTCAGCAGTATATGCCGATATGTGTCTGCATCTATGGATAAAAAAATCTATCGGGCGACTAATGTGAGTTCCATGTAGAATATTCTTTTTCCGTATTTTTTTCTTTCTGTTCTTAACTTAACTACCGTTAAGTACGACGACCGTTAGGATTTACATCGTTTTGGATTCTGCAATTTGTCTATGATTTGTATTTTTTTGTGTGTCTATCTAAATACACCTGTCATTAGTCCATACTCATCACCTAAATTCCACCGTTGTCAGTATTATGTGACCAGGCGGAATGCTCTGTTGAGCGTCCTCGGCATAGTATTTCAGTGAAACAGCACTATACAGTCGGCATCAGACCCGCGCTATCACAGGGAGGCAAATACACCAACATACCTTGCCTCCGGCTCGCAAACACACAAGCACGCATACATTACACACATGGAGGCACATCTTTAAATTACCTTAGCTAGTTCACTTTAAAACAAAGTAAAACCAAATTAAGAACAATGTATGAACTGATGAAGTGGGATGTTAAAAATGTGACATTTTTACACATAAGGTCAGAATGAATGCGTTTTAAATTAATTTCGGTGTTCTCAGTTTAATTTGATATTAATCAATATCTATTTTTTTGTCTTTGCAGGTCTGGCATTTCACGGCGACTTTCGGAACACAAGGAAATTCGGGGCGTTTCTAAAAGAATGAAGTTTCGTCAGCTGAATTTGAACCCGTTCCTCCGTGGCCGTTCAAAGTCCAAAAAGAAGAACGCCAAGAAATCGGACCACCCCAATCAATCACCTAAAAAAGATGACATTGACCCTGTAAATCATGGTATACAATGTCGTAGCCCCGACAACAGTAGGAAAGACAATGAACATGTTCGAGTGAAAGAATCAGATATTGTCGACCTTGACTTTGACTACAGTTCGTCCAAGGTCATTCAACGGGGAGGTGAAAGTCAACTGGATTTGAGTATTGACATTAAATCTCAATACCGGCTTCAGCTGGACGATTATTATTATCCAATTGGAAACGAGGAAAGTGAATTTCCAGAGGAGCGGTGTCATTATGACGTCAGATCTGATTTTATCGGATGTGACCATTTCGTAGTTGATGAAGATGGAAACCAATATTCTAGCGGCGGCAGCCTCCCCGACAGAGCAAATATTGATATCGATCCGTATTCTAACACCATACGTAAAGTCAGGTCTCGGATCAAGACAAATCCTTGGCTACCATCACCAAAACTGAGCCCGTCATCTCTCAAAGCTCCTTCTGAAGTTTTGAGCTCCTCTGAAGGAGATTCCGGAAGTGAGGGTAACCCTGACGACAAGCTCGATGATTTGTACTGCGAAAATGAGGACAATTTTAATGACAAGGAGAACGTGATTGAACAGTTGGAGAGCCCACTAACAGTGACAACTGACGCTGACGTTAAAGCATCAGTGCAATGTCGACATCAGCAGAATGATTTAAATTACCGCTGGTCCATAATTTCTGAAGGTGACATTGACTTGACATCGCCCACGATTGAAGCTCTCCGTGAAAGCTTTTCTAATCTCGAGCATAAAGTGAGCTTCGAATACGAAGATAAAGTTGATTCTGTATTGGAGGGTGATGAAGCGGATCCAAGAAGCCTCACGTGTCTCTCAATAAACGATCTCTTTGACGACAGTCTCATCCAATCGGATGACTCCTCCAGTCTCCAGAGCTCCATGACGAGTTCAGAAGATATTTCAAGTGTGGCTGAAATGTCATCTTCACGAGAATCTAGTGTTATGACGGAGTCAGAAGCCGGCGCTAACACCGAGTCGGAAAACGGAGACAATTTTGAGGATTTATCTCCCTTGGACGGAGACCCTCTGTCTAACGAAAATGCATTCCATGTTAAAATGTGCAATATGGACGATTCGATTGATGCGGGATATTCCAGTTTGAGCCGAGACAGCCGGATGAGTTCTGATTCTGACTCCGACAGTTACACAACGGAGAAAAAACTGCGGACCATACGGTCAACAACAGACATCAGAACATTCTTCGAGGAGGAAGAAGAGGAGGATGAAGAAAAAAAAGACAGCGAGGAAAAAGACCTCAACGAGGAAAGAACAACTACAGATTCATACGAAAAATTTGCCAACGATCTTCGAAAATGTAACGCCCCTACAAGCAGAACCTTTTCTGAGGTTAGACTTAGTCTTGAGGAAAAAGTGAAACAGCTCCGACTGGAGAAAATTATTGTTGAGCAGAAAATCCGGGAAGCGCAAGAAGCGGAGAAAATCCGGCTCCAGGAAAAGCTTCGATTCAAACAGCAAATGTCGGAACAGAGGAAAGAGGTTCTGTTGCAGACACTCAACGGTCTGAAGGAGAGACTAGAGAACCAGTCCGAGCGCCTGGAGCAGAACTATTCTGAAGTACTCGACATGCAGGAGAAATATTCACGAAGACGTCAGCCATTTCTGTTTGTTGCACCAAACCCGGTCTCATCGTAAACCTTATCTTTGCTAACATTACACACGAATGTGTCATTGTAGGCGCGTTCTGTGTAAAATGTAAATCGACAACGTAATGCCAGTCCCTGCTGCAAGATTTTGTGAAACCGCGACATCGTCATTCGTGTTCCCGTTATGACGTCACGGAAATTTGTGTACATCCAGTGCGTCATCGTAATTCGTGTTCCTGCTACACAAATATTGAACTAAGTGTAACAATTTATGCGTCATCGTATTCGTACTACACCACCTGGTAAATGTGCACTTTTTTAGCGCGTCATCGTAATGTGTGTCCTGCTGACAAACCAAACATTTGTGCTATTTGTGAATGGACACCGTTACTAACCAACAAAAGGAATTACATCACGTGCTCTTTTATGACGTAATTTGATTTCCAATTGGGTTATTTAATTTGTATTTGATACAAATTACGAATTTTAAAAGTTGGTATAGTTACAATTGTTCCAGTGTATTGAAACACGTTTTAGGTGACTGGCCATTTCAACGTGTTTCCGGTTGAGTCGTTTTCTACACAAGTGAGATAACAGGTTGATGAGGAGGATAACAATGGCAGCCATCTTAAGAAACATATCCGTACGCCAGACATTATGTATCGAAGACTGATGGCTAACTCTCAAATGATGTCGCAGAAAGACACTGGAAAAGCACACCTTATATAGATGATAGAATGTCACGTGATATTGTAATGACTATGACGCTTTATATGTTGGAGAATTTTATCTATGTTTTTCAGTGAAACACGCATGCGTACAATGACGAACAAGTAATTGAACACTTGGGATTTTCTCGACCATCAGCAATTATTTCGTGTAGTCCTTTTCGTGCAGATTCTTGATGGTAAAAGTATTCAATTTGTGAGTGCTTTCTGCTGTCAAGTGTCTGCTCGTCAAAAACTGCAACACTGATTTGGCTACCAAAAATATTCCGCCTAAAATCAACACGTTTTGTATCTATGATACAGAAGCTAACCGAAGGGTAAAACAGCGTTCTGTTCCCTCGGGAGTTTACGTAGACATATATTGTCTCGGTACGAGGTTAAATGCGCCTGAGCCAATTAATGGAATTAATTCAGGCGAAAACTAGTGAAGAATCTGGAGTAATTTCTTATGAAATGTACTTTTCAGGAACTTACATTGGTTCAGGTCTAAATTTGAGGCTTTTCAATTCAAATTTGAGCGCAAACCTCGAAATTACAAGGTGCCAAAGTTAAGTGACCAAAGGGTAAAAATAACCCTCACCCGACTTATTCTAACTAGTTTTTGATATGTTCGGGTGGTCACCTTTTCGAGGTGGACAGTTATTGTCCACTACTAAAGCTGTATGGTTGAGATATCCTCCAAACTTTTGATGTTGTAGTGTTTAATTTGCGTTTTATGTTCGAAAACATCTCCTAACACCTCAAAATCCACAATCAACTTGTCCGATTACTTGGACAAGTTCATTTTGGTTAGAGCGATACATGAGTTGATGATTGTTTCATTTAGATTGAAGTGCTCTGTTATCATATTTATATTGTTTTGTTTTATGTTTCTGTTTGGCGAATCAAACGTAGAAGTGATCAAGACCCCGATTCATCCTCGTCCTGAAAACTCTTTTGAAAGAAAGTATAATCATGTATGTCAACCTTTACAACATCCTGTGTCATTTGTTACACCAAAGATTCCGTTTGACATTCAAAACTGTCCTTTTCAACAGGAAGTTAGCCTCAAAGCTTATCAAAGCCACTATATCAAGTTTCGACAATGAAGTCGCGCTGATAAAAACTTTGCATCACAAAGCGAGCTGAAATAATTTGCAAAATTTACAAATTAAGAAGTGTTCATTCAAATGAATAAAATTATTATTGAATTAAGAATAACGTAAAAAATGGTTTCACTTGAGCTCATTATGTTAGCAAACTATCCCTATTTATAAGATTGACATTTATTACTTCAACGGTTGAACGATGTTTTGATTATTATGGGTATAATTAGTGCTCTTTGTTAATTTATTTTGTAAATAATAAGTTTGTATATGTTATTGAAGTACATCTTGTTTGTGTCATAATTTAACTTCGACAAGTTTCTCTCAAGATACTGAATCCAATCTGAGTTATTTTGGAAAGATAAATCCATTTCCTATGTATTCGACGATTTTTCACGATTACCTGAAAAAGAATTGTTCGGAATGTAAATGTAAATATCTGAAAATGAAATTAACATCCTTTTAACGTTACCGTGTCTACTTTAAATTTCATCGAAATAAATTAGTTTTATTTCTAATCTAATATCATCTTTTGACTTTTTATATACGAATTGTTTGCTCCATCTTCTCTCCGTAATGACAATTCCTTGAATGGATTTTATATTTGTTCAACACAAACTTATTTGTAAGCAGGAGGAATATAATTATACATCTTGGTATGATATCGATATTATCGATGTTTGTAATTAGGGTACATGTATATCGATATTTGTAATTTTGTGATATCGATACTTAATTAAACATGTATTGTTATTCGCTATCAGCCTGTTACATTCATTTTATTGTCATTACACAAAGAAATATGGAAATTCTTGCTTCTAATTTTTTTGATGTCTGTATTCTATTGACATCCCGTTGTACGTGGTACAATATGTACTCAATTCATCATCTTCTTCAGACAAATGACCGATAAAGCCTATGTACACTATAGGGCTGCAACGATACATTAACAGAGCGATACGGTACGCACATTGTACCGCGATACTGTGGTCACGATACGATACGTATCACGATACACAAAGTAACAGTAGAAGCAAAGAAAAAAGATATATTGCAAATTTTCAATGGAAATATATTTGGTCCAATATGGGCATGATTTTAAAGTTTCACACTTTTGAGCTGTCACTCGCCATGTTGGAACCGATACGAGTAGATTAAATTCTGCAAATATCGTAGGTGTATCGTAACCCGCAAAAAATATATGGTTTATCGTACCGTATTTAAAATATCGCGATATATCGCCGCAGCCCTAATATGTACAATTGTACGAGATGAAAATGCAATCGAAAAGTCGCCTTAGATACGCTTTAAGCGTGTATACGCTTGCAAATTGGAATAAATGCATGAAATAGGAACAAATCCAAACGGACGATTGCAGTGCAGAACATTAGGACAACTGCAAATTGTGACGTCATAGTGAACAAATACACTGTACGGTAATGGGACGCCCAATTATAAGAAAGTGGTAAGCTTTTTTAGGTGTTGAACGTTATACCAATCGACCTTCACTTCTGACAAATCTCTTTTTAACAAGTTTTGGAAAATCTAAATTTGGTACATTTACAAACGTCAGTTTCAAATCTATTTAAACTAAAAGGAAACAATACTTAGCTATTGACAAGCAATGTTTTTTGATATGATCTTTTGATTCCTGGGAAAGGCAATTCAGATTTGCAACTCCTTTCAAAGTAGAAATGCACATTATTTTCTTTTTATAGAACATTGCATCCTTTTAAGACGAAAACGATTTGATCAGAATAGCCATGCCACGTAATTGGAAGCACACTGGAAAACAAGCACTTGATTGATCGTCAGTTTCAATAATCGGATAACCAGGGAGGATTATTGATTTGTAACTTGTTCAGATGACGGAGAAGTTCTATACGAGTATATATATAGCTAGCTAACATCATTAGACGACCACTTGATCCGATCCTTTTGACTCGGTGTATTGACCTAACAAAACCTTCTGGGGTTTCTTCTATCTTTGTCGAGAGAGCGAACATGGTAAGCAATCTTCAATTCTGGCCAAGTTTGAATTAAAATGCGGGACACCTTTCCACGCGCAATTGGCCTATCTCGCGACTTTACGTAAATTATAATTATACAGTGTTCTCTGTCTATTCAACATAATTAAGTTGTTTTGAAGAGATTACCGGATTATAGCGATTCAGTGTAGCAGGACACGACAGAACTACGATACGTTTCTCACACAGGGACCTGTGAACTTGTTACAGCCGAATTTGAACCCAAGGTGTTCATAGTAATTTTACATGTTTTTGGCGGTTTAGATCGACTTTCGGTAAAAATGCCACTCCCAATGATGGTTATATACGAGAAGGGTAGGAAGCTCTTGATGTCGACAAATCGACCCCATCTAATTTTCTTGCACCAAAACAAACAACATTTCCAATTGATGTACCTTAGTTTAGGTTTAAATATAGCAGCCAAAAATTCTCAGGTCCCTGTGATTACTCATACTGTATATGCAGTTTCTCGCTTCCTTACTTTCGTTTAGACGGTGTCTTTCTACGCACATATTTCATAAGGTTATGGCTCTGTAGCTCAAACAAACAAACAAGGAAGGAAGGAAGAGAGAAAGGAGGACACAAACCAAGCATTTCCTAATAGCACGATTTACGGTAGTGTAGACACGCACAGCATCTGAAACACTGACATTTTGAAATAAAAAGTGTAATTGCTACTACAGCCGTCATGCTCTGTTTATTAGTGATATGATTAACGGAGGTTCCTGTGTTATCTCGACCGAGATCTATCTCGACATGGGTACCTGACATGACAACAAATGCGTGAGAATACATTGTTTCAGAGCGGTGTGCCATTCTAGGTCGACCCCACCATAACATTTAAAATCAATTTTAAAGAGATATCCTCACGAACCACATAACACAGTTACCATAGCAGGGCCATGGAGGGCTAATTAATCTTCCCTGGGACGCACCGTATTTTCTTTGGATGATGAGAAATGAGTTTTTTTTTATGCCGATATCATATAGAGACAGCATAAAGAATCGATAAACGGTAGCTGGGATATAGAAGCGTGATTTATATATCCCGACGGTTTTGGGAGTTAGAAAAATTGTCACAGTACCACACGAGAGGGGTAAAGATGTTTGATGGAAATGATTCTGAATGATATATGGCTCAGCCGCCATTTTGAATCGCATGAGTCATATGCGTGAAAAAAATCAATACAATCTCACACGGAGACCAAATACTCGCCAACTTGTCAGCTTTGTTAATCGTTTATCACATTTATTTATTTTTATTCTTAAATGAGACCAGTACTCAAATAATTATGTGAAAGTTTCTGTTAACATACTATATATATTTCTTAGCACGCTGGTAATTTATAATCGTTTGAAGGAGAAAAATACAAATATTATTTATCTTCAAGGAAACCAGACTTTGAGTATCAAAGTCACAATGTCAAATTGTATTTGACACTAACATGTGAATAGGGAATCTCGTGGAATCGCCTTCAAAGAGAATTTAGACAACTGTTTTTCCCCAATCGGAGCTAAATTAGGTTATGGGCCAATAAGGAAAAGACAAATATGGTTGTCTAATAAAGAAGAGTTCCAACACAGGGGGGTAATAAGATATTTTCATCTCTATCTGGCATACTAACAGAACACCCTAGGTATTCCTTATGTACGATGGTAATCTAATAATCAACTGCAATCATACTGATATTTCTGTATGACATGTACATACAAATTGGCAATGTAAATATGCATGTATGTAAGGACGAAGTCTCTGAATTTTCACTAGAAATGACTCTATTTTATCACAAAATCTATTCAATTAAGCTACATATGTGTGTTTTGTTATTCAGAATGTAATGGAATCCGGATAAACAACTCAACACCAACAAGCCAGAATCGATTTCAAATCTGATACCACCCGGACAAGACATTAGCCAGTATAAACAGCGTGTTTTAATAATGACTTCAGACACATAGACTCATATATACTAAATGTAACACATTGGATACACAAATGTAGATTCTTATTGTCTACCTTTCCTCTAATTTTAGTAGATAACAGAAACAAAACCCAGAAATGCGGAGACTAGCCTTCATATTACTGCAGTAGTCTTCATATCACTGACCTAGCCTTCATATTACCGGACTAGGCCTTAATGACTAGCCTTGATATACCGGACTTTATACCTTATATTACAGGACTAGCATCTATGTACCGGACTAGCCTGTGTATTTCTGAATTAGATCTTGCGTCACCAAACTAAATTAATTATTTTGGTTAGTAAGAATGTATGTATAGATGCATAATTTGTATGTCCCTATTGTCACGAGATCACTACATATTTAAACTAAATCAGTGATCAGACTTCCTGACATAATAACGTGAAAAGAGTAAAACACAATAGGACTTCTATATAATTCATTCTAAAGTCGATATTTATTAATGTGTACATATTGGGGATCAGTTTTGCAATGGATTTTGTCATTTCTCTCCACTATAAAGATAAATGGATATCTCGACCGGCCTTTTACCAAGAATAACTTGAACGTGCTACATGTATCAGTCACACATTTTGTGAAAATAATGTAATAGGGTTGTAATTTTCTGCACATACACGAAAAGACAACACATAAAGTTTGATTCATTTATCTTATTTAGGGCAATATATATATCAGATGTGACTCCATTGCAAATAATAAAGGTAAACTAAATACCCCGTAAAGTTAGCCATACATGAACAACTTACACACTCCAAGGGAAATAACTCCTACATTTAAAAAAAACAAAAACAAAAAAAAAACCCAACGAAATCCACGAAGATCTAATATTCCTCATACATCTACATTCACTGTTATGGACGCGTTTCATGTACGTTTGGCAAGTTGGCCAATTCCATACAATATCAAATTCAGTACATTTTATTCAATTAAAACCTTAAAAAAAATACGAAAATATGTCTCTGTTACAATAAGCCATGATGTTGAACACAGTCTCTACTATTATACCCCTTTCCGCGAATAAGCAATGACACTCGGCAATTAAGTGTATTTATCAACAACAGTTTAACCGCATAATTCAAAGAACTACTGCAAGAGGTTCAGACACATAGAGAAGTTACCCTAACATTAGATTTAGACAGCTTCCATACATCCTCGACACTCCATGACATGTTATGACATCCATCATGGACAAGATATCCATTTATTTTTATAGTGGGGAGAAGTGACAAAATCCATTGCAAAATTGATCCCCAAAATGTACATATAAATAAATGAACTTCCGACAAAACAGGGGTTACGCCCACTTTCACTCTCTGCACCCCTGTCACATAGCAGAAGTTTATCGTTAGTGAAGATCAAACAGGATTTCTCTCTGTTCATTATATAAGGGAAAACATGATTAGTTTATGACATTATGCAGAAGAAAGATATATTCCAGGTATGGTGTAACTGGTAGATTTTGAGAAAGCATTTCACTCAGTCTCATGGAAATTTGTTGATAAAGTTTTAA